TTTAAGGCTTCAGATGCTATATCTTTTGGTAGCTGGGCACCATCAGCTTTCTTCACCACACTTGCTTGTGCACCCATTGTCTTCAGTGACTTCAGGTGTTATATCTTTTGGCAGCCAAGCACCATCCGCTTTCTTCACCACATTTTCTTGTGCACGACTATGGGCACTTTTGTAGTATGACTTTTCCTTCTTCATACATTAGATACCTTAGGTAATGGTGATGTATAAGGACACAAGGGCCTCGCTTTGAAAGTCAGGAGGAGGACAAAGAGACTACTGATCTCTAGGCTTGTAATCCAATGCTGTGCAGTCTATGTAGGCAAGAGAGAAAGTGTAAATAGGAACGCTCACCTAATAAGTAGAGGAGGGATCCCCGGGTCCACACCAACATGAATGAATAACTAAACAGGCAATGGAAGGAAGGGATCGGGAAAGGAAAGGTCCTTTTGTGGAAAACCAATCAATGCAGAGGAAATGAAGATTTAGAGAAACCCTCTCCAGCAAACAACATAGTAGCTGATGGAGGCACAGACCATCAAGAGGTGTTAAATGAAGGAAGCAAAGCTCGGAGGCCAACTTTGCAGTAATAGCAGCAGGCAACTCCATTGCCCAAACATGCAGAGTTCACACTGCAGATCGGGGTCCCGCAGCCAGCACGGGCCTCCTCAAAGGGTAGCTACATGGAGAGACGCTGGACAGGTCCTGAGCCTGACCATGCGCAGCCACAGACACATTCACCCAGACACACAGTCGCCAGGTACCAGCTGACTCTATTCACAAGGCCAACTCACACTCTGCAACAGAGAGACCAGGGGACAGTCTAGACGCAGGAGGCCAGCAGAACGGGATGGCTGAAGGAGACCTCCTCTTCGCGCAACCAAAATCAGGCCGGTGGCCACCCACTTGGTTCCCACAACTGGAGGAAACCTCAGCAAGGTCTACAGAGTGTGGTGCTGAGGCCGAGGCCCGCCCTAGTTTTGACAACTATGCTGTGACTCCACGAGAAAGTCTGTTTGGTGGAGTTTCACACTGAAGTTGCGAGGGTTAAGGAGCTTCATATTGCCTACTGACTCGGAAGCCGTTCAGGTGAAAAAAAAGAAAAGAAAAGCCTATCTAACAAGGGGGTTTCAGAGAGTATGTCGGTTAAATTCCATTATTCTTTGACTTTGTTTTGTATTCCATTATGGGAATTGAAATCAATGGTATTGAGCAAAATGTGTGTAAGCTGTTGGCCAGAAAACTAATTAGCTCTATAACCCTTCACCCAATTCACAATAAAAAGGAGTTTTAAAAGGTACATGAGATACGGGCACAATTATGTGAAAGAAACAAAAACTGCAGAGAAAAACGTAGGAGGGAAACTGGACAAAACCACCACAATGCCCGAGCTGAGCAGCAGGACCAGGGATGAAGGCTTTGTCTGAATGCTTTCCATTTCTGCCCCCAACAGTCCTTGACAACAAATGTTTAAACCATGACAAAAGTCACATCGTGCAAAACCCAACAGAAACCCCCAGTGCATACCATTGGAGTCACTGCCGTCTGAAACTCCACCCGGGGCAGAACAGCTCAGCTCAAAGGCGTACCGTCCAGGGAAGCAGCGCTGCACCAGCTGACTCAAGTGCTCGTAGAAATGGCAGTGCTGCACCAGGGCCTGAAGGGCAGGCTTCCCCACAAGAGACAAGCCCGAATCCTCATCGTGCACACAGGGGCCCTGTAGGAGAAAAGGGAGCCAGAGAGACGTGGGCCCTGATTGCTAACATGATGCCTCTGCACGGTCCCCCAAATGGTGGCCGGCAAATCCCAGAAGCCCCAAGTCCTGGTCATCACCTCACTCTGGCCACTTGCCTCTGCCTTGCCACAGCGGCCAGGAGCTGGGCCCTGGCAAACTAGTTTCAATTCTCGGTGCCTACAATCCCCTGGAGGTAGGAGGCTGGTCTCTCTCCTCTTTCACACTCTCTCGTAGTTTAAAATGTTTCTCTGAGGAGCCACTACTTTCACCAATCCTACTCTTGAGCTGCCAAGCACAGTCAAAGCAGTGTTTTCCAACCTACAAGAAAGTATAAAATGTTGGGGTCCAAGTAATTATTTTCAAATTTAATTTTGTGTCTATCAATCAGCCACATGAACTAAAACGGCTCATCAACATTGGATTGTCACTCTATTCTCCATTCAATTACACCTGCCAAGGGAAAAATGTGTGTGCGTGAACACACAGAGAAAACAAAGACAGGAAACAGTGCCCATAAAAACTCACTGAAGTACCAGCAAGAAAAGTAAGTTCAAAGAAAAAAAAACAAGACCAAAAAAAAAAAGAAAAGTAAGTTCAAAATCCCATTTTCTCTCAGGTCCTTTTCCATGAACTGTTGGCACCCCCCCTCATCTGCTCTTTACCCACTCACTCTCTGCCTTGAATACAAGGCTCCACCCTAAGCCGCTTTGCCAAGACCCCCAGCTAGTCCCCACCTCTCTGTGTCCCTCACAGTCCACGCCACAGAGCAGACAGTGACCTTCTTGGTCAATAACCTGGATCCCGTCCCTTCTGTTCCTTTAACCCTCCAGAAGCTTCTGGAGACAAGACTCCATGCTGGCTCATGACAAGGCTCATGACAAGGTGACAACCAGCACCATGGTGCTAGCAACAAGGATACATTGAAGTCAAGTTAAGTCTGACGGAGATAAGTCAAGATAACCTTAATAAAAAGAAATTACAACTAACTGCTGATAGAAATATGAACTGTCCAGTCTTGTGGGGCAGGGGGGGGGGGACACAAACAAGCTCACTGCCATAAAATCAATTGACTCATAGTAACCCTGCAGGATAAGGTAGAACTGCCCCTGGGGGTTTCTGAGACTGTAAACCTTTAGCGGGGCAGAAAGCCCCATCTTTCCCTCGGGGAGTGCTGACCTGGGAGTTTCAGACTGCTGACCTTGTAGTTAGCAGGCCAATGCGTAACTCACTACACTCCCAGGTCTCTGTGGGGTGGAAAGCAATCCCTAACATGCAGAGCAGTGCACACACTCTATTCCTAGAAAACCAATGCAGAGACATGAACGCTTCATTACAGAGAAAGAGAGAGAGAGAGAAACAGACATTTCATTGACTATCGAAGGTGCACACTATGAATATCCATGAACCTATCGAAACAGGAATAACTGAATAAATTATGATCACATCATGTCATAGGACACTGTCCAGTTGCGGTTTTTAGTTTTTAAAAATTCGCTAAGCCAGTAGACTTACACTAGTACTATTGGGGGACAATAAGCTACGAAGTGCAGAAATACATATAAAATGGATCTATTTTATAAAGCAAGAGGATAAACACTGCTCTCTATGTAAATGTGTAACATATTAGCCTTCGCATATGCAGATGTATGTGTTTGCGTGTGTAACTGGTTGTGATTGGACACTGAAATATCAGTAAAGGGAACTATTAGGGTTCCCCTGTGCTCACTTCCCACCACACCGTCCAGCCCCCAAAATAAACCTGTGCTGAATCCCTGGCCCTGGTGCCTATGGATATGATCTGTTTGTAAACAGGGCCTTCTTTTGTTATGCCAATGAGCCACACCTGTGGAGGTGGAGCCTAGACCTACTTACCTCTGAACTGTAGAGACCTGACTATATCCTGACCCCCACATGGGCAGTGTGGACACACAGGGCACAGGAGAAGACAGGTGCCAAGTAGGGAATATTGCCACCAGAGGTACCAACAAGGAGAGAATCAAAATGGCCGAGACCCTGATTCGGACTTTACAAGAAAAGACATTTCTGCTCTTCCACGTGGCTCCCTATCCTGTGAGTGCCACACAGCAACACAAACCCGAACTGATACGCATGAAAATGTCAGCGTGTGTGGATGAAGAACGGCCTACAAGAAACAGAAGTAATTCTGAGTGATAACAAGAACTATTAAGACATACAAATAAAAAGGCTCCAATATAAATGATCAGACTCAGGAAGAAAGACGGGATCCTAAAAGCGAAGTCCGTTCCTTCTGAGAAAGAAAACATCCCCAGCACCGGGATGTGATGCCAGCTCCAGCACAGATGCAACCACCCCAGGGGCGTGGCCAATGGGGCTGTGGGGGTGGAAAAAGCAGGGCCAGCACAACCACATCATATGCCCTTCATACAGGGGCACCTGGGGAGGGGGCGAGGCTGGAGGGGTCCTAAGAGCTATGAAGAGAGGGAACTAGAACCAGAGCTGCAGGCTGGGGCAGTGGAGAAACACTGTGGGAGAACAACATCAGCAGGACACTACAAATGGGCCAGTCCTAACGTATCAATACAGGACTTGAGCAAGCACATTGCCACAAGCTCCTCAGAGCATGGCAACCGCTGCCGGAGGAATGAGAATCAGCAAAAGGAAACACCGTTCCTGCTAATGGACAGGGTGAGCAATTTCCTAAGAATTTTCTATTCGCTTTTAAGCACCTGTACTTACTGCCGGAGCCCTGGTGGGAGTCACAGTTGGGCTACTAGTCTCAAGGTCAGCAGTTCTAACCTACCAGGCTCCACAGGAGAAAAAATAGGCTTTCTACTCTCACAAAGGTGTATAGCAGCGGTTCTCAACCTGTGAGTCACGACCCCTTTGGGAGTCAAACGACCCTTTCACAGGGGTTGCCCAATCCATAACAGTAGCAAAAATACAGTTATGAAGTAAAAAACTAAAATAATTTTATGGTTGGGGGGTCACCACAATATGAAGAACTGTATTAAAGGGTCTTGGCATTAGGAAGGTTGAGAATCACTGGTGTACAGTCTCAGAACCTCCCAGGGGCAGTTCTACCATGCCCAGTTCTACCATGCCCACAGGGCCACTCTGAGTCAGAATTGACTCCATGACAGTGAGTCTTTTGTTTAATTTTGTCTATTTGAAGTGTTCATTACTTGAAACAAATAATTTCCTCTAAAACATTAACCCATTCAAAGTGGTTGTTTTTGGTTTTTTTTGAGAGAGAGCAAGTAGACCACATCCTGGCCCACCAAGCCCCTAGGGCAACATTCCTGCTCAGAGCAGCCAATGCACAAAGAGAAATGTAGGGCCGGCCCCACCATGAGATATGACATCCATTTACTGACCCACAGCGCTACAGGGGACAGCGGTGGAGCGCAGCCCAACGTATGCACGAAAGGTGGTCTAGCTCAAGCTTTCCAGTGAGGACGAAACAGCACGAGAGTCCAGAGAGTGGAATCATCCACGTGTGCGCATGTGCTGTGCTCCACTTCGTGGGCCCATCAGTAATTGATGAGGTTGTCTTCTGGCATAGGGAAATCAGCAGTCTAATTGCTGGGTCTGAGGATGTCTGCCTGCTTAGCAGCCTTGCCCTCGAGCCATGCTGGGGCTGCCAGCTATCTCAGAAATGCCAGGGAGACCTGCAGGGCAGCACACGAGTGAAGAACTCTGTGCACCTCACCAGGTGCCATTAAAAACAAATCTGCGAGGAAAACAAATTAATTATGTCATAGGAAGCGCCAATTAATTTGGAAACATTGTTCTCAAGGATGCAATAAAGTAGAACATTAATTTTAGACCACATATTTTAGTCCTAGTTTCCTACTGCTGGTACACCCATTAACTATGATTGAGAAGACGCTAGATGTAGAAATCGCATTTGAGGAAGAACACTCGAGAATAAAATTTTCCAAGAAGAGAAAAGAATTGATTTATAGCCAATTTAAAATGCTACAATGTGACCAGGGGACAAACAGATACTAGTGACATTACAAACACTGAACAATTATGTCAATTAAGAAGATAGTGAAAATGTTACCACGTCCCTGAAACCAATCAATAGTCACAGTAACTCATGATGAATAGTAAATGTCATCATTATATTAGACATGAAAATGGTATGCACTGCACCTGTCTAAAATGCACACAAAGACAGACACAGGAGTGGTCTTGCTCTATCCACTGAGCAACCAGAGACATGATTTTAGCCCAGGTTCAGAGAGCACATGGAAAACCCAGATATTGGTTTCTAAGCCCCAGTCTCCACTAAAAAGGAATCGGGCCCTTTCCAACTCAACCAGGTAAAGCCTGCTCTAGCCATACATCGGGGACCCCTGAGGTGATATACACCCCCAGCGGAGGGGGGGGCGGTACAACTCCACTCTGTGATCTTCTGCCAAAAACGCATGACCTGAAGCAAGTCCCATGGAAACCCCAACAGACCTAGTCAAGAGGATGAAGTAAATGGCCAGTAAGCATCAACACTAAGTATTGCTGAATTAGATCCTAGATAAATGAGTACATTAGCTATTTTGCTATAAAGATCATTAGTGGGACAAATGGTGAAATTTGAATAATTCCATGATTTATATTTGGATCATTACTACTATGGCTACTTAAGAGAACATTCTTGTTTTTAAGAAATTCACACTTAGGTATTTGGAGGGAAAGGAGCACTCAGCCTATACCTCTCTAGCCTTCAAGAAACAAAACAACTTCTGACAGAGCTAAAGGAACTATGGAGAATGATAACATGGGAGGAATCTGGAAAGTGTAGGAAAACTACTGTGCTGCTTCTGCAACTTTTCTTTTCTTTTTTTTTTTTATATATATATTCGCAACTTTTCTATAATGCTAAATTTCTTTCAAAGAGTTTTATATTAAAAATCCATTATATCACCCATAACTTATACAAGAAAATACTTGCTACTCAAAAGCACAGCATTCCAGAGAATAACATAAAAGAGAACTGTAGGCCAGAGTGGAGTGGGGAAGGGAGTGGGAGATGGGTTGCTACTACACAGGGTATGCTGGGTCACACCCAGGGCCCAGCACAGGAGCATCAGGGAAAGTTGGCAGTGGCCCTACAAACAATGTGTTTACAATGTTGAAAGCAGCAACACAGTGACACAGGGAGGAGCCAGCCGGGAAGGAGAACGAGCAGAGAATGCAACTGGGGGACGCCAGGCCAACAGCATAACCCTCGGAGCCAACACTTCTCCAACTACAGCTTAGGTGCACTGACCACTCATCACTCCAACACTGCACACTCAAAAGGCCCTGGAACCGGTTCTAGATCTTAACACACACCTCAATACCATGCCTACTTCAAGTGATGTTGGACAGTGTGGAGAAGACTTTCAAATTTTGAGCCCACATAAGAAAAAACTGGTCATTTCTTTGAAGAGATCCTGTTGCCTTAGGTAAAGTTTCCCCAGCAATAAAGCATACATATGCTCAAACATTATTATCGGTTAACCCCAAATACCTACCAGGTTGATAAGGTTTGAGAGGCACCCACCTGCCATGTATAATCCTTTATGATTTCACTCGGCATTGGAATCACAAGCAGATTCTGAAGAATAAACGCAGCCTGAAAGAAAAGGAAATGTCAATACTGCCATCTTGTTGTCATCGCTGAGATAACCAATGAGTCATCACAAGGGAAAAAGCCAGCCCCGTCACCTTCTCCCCAGCCAGCTGCCAGGAGGGGCAGGTGGGGAGGGGACAATCATGGAGTTTCTTATGACATTAGGTGAGGCTCTAGCAGCTAATGACATTATTTCATGGAAAAAAATAAATACTTTTTTTCCTATTTCAACAGTTTTCTAAAAAGAGATTTATAGAATATATTCTGAAATAATTTTTTAAGAAATATAGTTTCAAATTTATATTATGCCTTTATAGATTTTACACACACACACATACAGCCTCCCCTCCCCCTCACATACAAGCTCCTCTCCATGAAACCTTGCTAATAACACAAATCATGAATTTCCAAATGAAGGCCCTGAGGATAATCAAATTAAATGGTCATACTAACGTGGCACTGATGACAGATGAAGGCAAGCTTAGGCTGTACCTACAAGGGGGCTAGGGGTGGGGGTGACCGGAGCAACAGCAGCTGTAGGGGTGAACGTCCCATGATCTGAACTGTAAGGCAGAGGGCAAGGCTCAGAGGATCACGAGCGAGCAAGTCCTGTTTAAACAAGGAGGCGGGCAGCCAGCTGACAGCAGTCTTTGGGGTCCCACTGGGCTCTAGTTAGTGGTAGGCCCAGAAGCTGCTGTTTCCTTTATAAGCCCCTGAATACTAGCTCATTTTTTTACAACTATTTATCTGATGGATCATTTTGATAAAAACATCAACAAAAAGAATTACAGTATGTTTAATTGCCCTCTCCTATGCTATACTATAAGCCAGGGGTGCTCACATTTTTTCAGCATGCAAGCTACTTATAAAATGATCAAGTCAAAATGATCTACCAACTACAAAAATGCAAAACATTTATTTATTTTTATGTATTTATTCCATTTATTCATAAATACATTGAGAATTCTTTATATGTACAATGTGTGTTTATTTACCTTGTATAACCGCATGAGTCCTTATTGCACAACACAACACAATTAACTATGTACATTTTTTGTCATTACCTGAGTTTACTCTGATGACTTGCACTGAATGGAATGAACCAGGGATGCATAGTCCGGACAGTAGCTGCTGACAGCCAGCCTTAAGCACACTTCCAAATGATCATCAGTCATGGTGGAATGGTACTTGGACTTAATGATCTTTATGTGGGAAAAGGCTGACTCATAAATAAATAGAGCTGATCATGCAGTCAAGGAGGTAGCACATTTTCTCATGTTTGGGCACTTCCCCTCTGTGAGTAAGCTCCAGAACTGTTCGTGTGCTCCGGAATTCAGCTGAATGTCAGCTTGTAGGGTCAAAATCTCCCATTCCATATGAAAGTGATACATTTTTGTCTTATTACTTGGTTCAGCTCCCCGACTCATTTTAATGCCCTCTCTTAAGTTTAAGAGAAAAAAAACAAGGTCTAAAAATTGGAGATAAGTTAGCATGTCAGTTTTGTTGCACATAGCGCAGTTGTTTGCGCGAGCGTTTGACACCTAAGACTGCATCCGATCGGCTGTGCTGTATATCAATTAAGTGACGGGATTGATGAGAGACTTATGTCTATTTTTTTAATGCCATGCAATCTACCCACACTACATTCACGATCGACTAGATCGCGATCGATGTATGGAGCACCCCTGCTATAAGCCCTACAAAGATTATTTTCAGCACCTTATCTTAACACGGAGCCACTAGTGGTGCCGAGGGTTAAGCGCTGAGCTGCCACCTACAAGGTTGGCAGTTCAACCCCACCAACTGCTCCGAGAGGAGAAGATGAGACTGTCTGCTTCCATAAAGCTGGAGTCCCATTGGGTCACCAGAAGTCAGAATCAACTCGATGGCAGGGGGCTGGTTTTTGCTCATTAATCTTAACTCAGCTTCACAATACATGAGCGACTGGCAAAACTGCAGGAACATGAAAGAGGTTTTCGCTGGGAATGTCTGCGGGGGTTGCCAAGCCAGCTGGAGTGGAACAGGTCTCTCTGGGGCAGCGGCGGACGCATGCCGACCTACCTCCCGGCGCACCATGCTGCATTCCGATGGGTCCAGGAGGATGTTCATGACGGTTCCCCAGAGGCCTCCGGAGATGTTCTGACAACTGTTGGCCAAGGCTGCACAGCCGGCTTCCAGGGTGGTCAGTGCCGCGCCCAGTGCTAGGGAGGTGAATCTCACCTGGGCAGGTCACAGAGAAGAGTGGTCAAGTCCGAGGAGCCACTCCCACAGGGGTCAGTGTTCCTTCTCCAGCAGGCAAGACTGTGTGCTTTTATAACTACGGCTTTGGGGTGGGCAGCCCAGGGCACAGGAACACTTAGAGAGGCCAGTGTCATATATGTTCATGAATAAAGAAAAATCCCATGCCATGGCTCAAAAAAGCAAAACAGCCTCCCCGGCCCCCTGGGAAAAAAAAAAAAACTATCACAGAAATTCAAACCCAACGATAAATGAGAGAGATTGTAAATGACAGCTTAAGAGCCCTTTTTTTAGGAAAAATATGGGTGCTAGCTCTTTAAGAATCCCCCTATACTAACTATTCCCTCCCTGCTTTTACAGGGGGCCTATGATTGTGAGCTGCTGTTCCTATGTTTTGAACTGTTTCTTCCAAAGGAGTAGTTTAAAATCCCTTCGAAACAAAGTAACTGAATTATCATTTGCCAAAGCATGAAATTACTAGCATCTTAAGAGAGAAATGTTTCAAAACAAGATTGATTTCCTATAATATGCTCTTGGTTCAATTGATGCATTTTCATGAAGCTCTTAATGCCGACCCAAATCTCTCAATTCACTGGCAGCTGGAGTGAACAAAACACCCCGTAGTCACAGAGTGGTCAGCTTAGAGGCCGAGTACCCCATGCCTAAGAGTCCCCCCGACCCTTCTGAGTTCAGAAGGGTCAACGTTTCGATAAATCCAGGCTTTGATTTCAGTAAGGCATCATCATTTCTCACTAGAAACTAGTCAACGCAGGGCTGAGGCAGAAAAATTCTTCAGTGATACTACATTTTGCATTATACTGTGCTAAGTGGCACTTGGTTTTATGACTTACAATCCCATCTAACTTTCTGAACCTTATAACTTTCTGGGCCTCTCCCATAATCTCACTGCTGTTTCTCAAAGAACTTTCTGCTTCTATGTTTTCCATCTGCCCTCTAGTGAATCCCACTGAAAGGTGGGGCATAAAATACAAGGCACTGAAGATCTGCCGGGCATGCTGTGGGCTGTGCCAGGCTGGCAGGACTCCCTGCCCACTGACCTCCGGGTCCCGATCCACCCACAGCGGGATCAGCCAGGCCAGGCCCTGCTGTGTAGACACCAGCTCTTCACTGTGGCCCAGAGGCAGAAACCACAGGGACATCCAGTCCTACAACGAGAAAGGGCAGCGGACACACTTTAGGTGGGTGTCACCAGGTGAAACGGAGTGATAGTGCAATGGCTCCATCAAAGGCCTCCAGCAGAGGAAGATTCTGGTGAAGACTGGGCTGGGCTAAAATCTCAGCTTCTCCTAAAAATTAGAGAGAACATGTTCTCTCCAGAACAGCTCTTTTACCCAACAATTTAAACAAAACGTGGTGTGCTCTAGTGAATGGGGAGATTCCAGGCAAAATAAAACTGAATAAAATATTAACTTAGAACAGGTCTAATCAAATCCAATTGTAATGTGCAACTTGGGTGAAAGAAAAGTCGAGGAAGATGTTTTTATGTGAAGAGCCCCTGGGACTCATGCTCATGTTCACTCGTGCCATGATGCGGGTACACACACACACACACACACACACACGCACGCACGCACGCACGCACGCGCGCGCACTCCGCTGCCCTGCCCCGCTCACCGAGCCTCGGGCCTGGGTCATCATCTCGTGGGACAAATGCAGCAGGCACAGCACGGCGCTCTTGGTGACGCCCTTCCCCATGAAGGACATGGCGTTTCCTCCTCGCTCCACGTAGAACGAGGTGATCACCTGGGGAGCAAGTATCATCGGTGAGGGGCGGCACACGACTCCCTGGTGTCAGCCCCAGGAAGCGGGCCTCATGCAGAGAAGGCTTCCCTTCGAGGGGGCACAGAGGCTGCCCGGTGTCCTCTGAGGGCTCTGGCAACAGAGCCCACGAGTCACACGGTGTCCCCACGGGCCGTATCCTGATGGTCCTCAGGCCACGAAGGACATGCTAACACAGTGAAATGGGCACTGCCCGCAAGGACGGATGTGTAAGTTGATATGCCCCCCACTGCTGAACAACTTCGATTTCTATAACATGCTGAAGGTACCCTGGTCGCTCAGTGGTTACACATTGGGCTGGTAACCATGAGGTCAGCAGTTAGAAACCACTAGCTGCTACTTGGGAAAAAGACAGGTCTTTCTGCTCTGCAAAGAGTCACAGGCTCAGAAACGCACAAGGGCAGTTCTACCCTGTCTACAGGGTCGCTACGAGTTGGCGTGAACTGGATGGCAGTGAGTCGTTTTTAGATAACACGATGAAGTATGCTGTGATTGTTTACGTTGCTGGACTTCAGCATTTTCCCTCTCACACACCTCAGGGATTTTACAGTTTCCCTTGGAAAAACAGCATCAGGCAGGCATCCGAATGGGCCCAGAGGCAGGGGCAGACTGAAGGTCTGTGCATGTGATCAGAAACATGTGACAAAACTGCAGCAAGGGCAAGAGAACCCCAAACCTACTGCACTGCTGAAAAAGAAGAACAAGTAGCAGGACTCACGCTCCGGGCATTCACCATACCACATAGACACAATAGCCAAAACAGTTGGTACCGCTGTAACAAGAGACAGCCACACGGACAAAACCAAAGTCCACAAACAAACCCACACATCTACGTTCCACTGAATTTTGACCAGGGCCCTAAGTCCACAAACAAACCCACACATCTACGTTCCACTGAATTTTGACCAGGGCCCTAAGTCCACTCCATTGGGAAAGAAGCATGTCTTCCATAAATGGTGCGTGGAAAACCATATTTCCAGAGGCAAGAAAATGAGACGGCACCCATGCCTCACATCATGCACAAAACCAAACTTTCCAGGAGTAAAGGCCTACACAGGCACTCTGAAACCATAAAATTCCAAGGAGAAAAAGTAGGGGCAACATTGGTCTAGCTCAGCAGTTCTCAACCTGTGGGTCGAGACCCCTTTGGGGGTTGAATGACTGTTTCTTTCACAGGGGTCGCCTAAGACAATTGGAAAACACATAAATATTTCACAGTATACAATTACATATTGTTTTGTGATTAATCACTATGCTTTAATTATGTTTAATTATTTTCCATTTATAACAATGAAAATACATCCTGCATATCACATTATGATTCATAATAGTAGCAAAATTACAAATAGTAGCAAATTACAGTTATGAAGTAGCAATTAAAATAATTTTATGGTTGGAGGTCACAACAACATGAGGAACTGTATTAAAGGGTCATGGCATTAGGAAGGTTGAGAACCACTGGTCTAGCTTTTAACAAGGCATTATCTTTTGGGTACCGAAACTGAAAACCAAGAGACAAAATCAGTAAATGGGACCTCCTAAAAATTAGGAAATTTTGTTCCTCAAAAGACTGCCAAAAATGTGAAGAGACTTGACTGACTGGGAGGGTATCTTTGGAACCACATATCTTGACAAAATCTAATAACCAAAATATTTATATAACTTAGACAAGTTAACAAGATGACAACTGATATAATGGGCAAAACCAAACCACAGTTTAACTCCGCTACAAGATGACAACTGATATAATGGGCAAAACCAAACCACAGTTTAACTCCGCTACACTCGTCTTGATTGAACATTACACTCTTTTAAGGAGTCTCTCTATGGGCCTAGGGTGACCACAGCAGCCGGAAAGATAAGAGAGGAAACTTGGGGAGCAGTAAGGTGGTGTCAATGGAAAAGAAGCAATGCAGAAAGGGGGTGCAGCAAAGTCCGCTCACATCACGGCCGATCGTGCAGGTCATGAAATGGTCGTGTGAACTGGGGTATATGCTGCTGTGGATATTCTCAAAAACAGCAGCCGAACCAATGAAAATTAGAGACAGATTTTTTAACCCCTCTTGGGACTATTTCTCTATATACAAACCACTTCTGCACCCCGCCCGCTTTCTCCCAGATGAGGGCTTTGTGTGCACTGAGGGCCAAGTACCAGGTACCAAGCAGCTCTGGAGCTCTGTAACTCTTCAACAAACGCATCTAAAGGGACAGAGACCCAGGCAATTCGCACTTTTCCAGAAAAAAGGTGCTAAGGACGTTCACTTGCCAAAAGGTTTTTAAAGAGGAAAAAATGTTTTCAGCCAAAGCAATTAAAACTACTTGCTATCTACACTCATTCAACAGAGATTTCAACCTAACCATCCTCAGACCCCAAGTGCTTTTGTTCATCACAAGACCCTTTGATGTCAGCCCTTTATCTCATCATTGTCTACTTTCGTTTGCAGGTTTTGTTTTTTGTTTTTCAGATCATGCGGCAAAGCAGATTTTAAAAAGAGAGAGCGTGATGCATGTTAGCCACAGCTTATTTAACAAAATTGATTTATTCATACATCATTGGGGCCTTTGATCTGAATCAGAATGTTCACAAAGCAGAATCTTAACTGCCTGAAATGGGAAGCAAGAGTGGCGGTGGGTTAGCAGCTGGAGTGCTGGCCGAGGAGGCTACGAGGGCTGTAGTATAATGTTCTGTCTATACGTCGTAACTTGTGAAATTTTCCATAATTAAAAGTTTAGAAGATCTCAGAAATCACTTATTTTTAAGTATGCAGAAGCATAGAGCATTGCTCAGGAGTGGGGAGATGTCCACTAGCATTTAAACCCTACACCTGAGCCATCTAGCACACGCCTGGTAAGTCAGACAGACTTTCACCTGGCTAGCACTTTGCACTCCCATAAACAGTCTCAGAAACCCACAGGGGCGATTCCACCCTGCCTTTAGGGTCACTATGAGTCAGCATCAACTCAATGGCAGAGAGTTTTGAGTGGGTCATTTCTATGTAAATGTTTCAACCAAAATAAAAAAAAGAGAGACCCCTTTTAAAATGGCCTGTGGTGCTGACTGCATAAGTCTTCATAATATAATCAAACTATCGAATTGCATGATATGTGAAATATATGCCAATAAAGTGACCTGAGAGAGGCCACAGGCCAGCAAGCCCTTATCCTCTGGGACGCAGCTCCATGCAGCCTTCAGTGTGAGGTCCATTCTGCGGCTCCTAGTGCTGAGCGAGACCTTCACCTGGGCCACCTTCTCAGCTGGCCTCCTGGTCATCCCCCGGGAATGATACCCTTTAGATCTGGCCTGAAGCCTTTGGTTCCCAGAGCTGAGTCACTATCAAAGTCTATCAGGCTGTTTCGATAACCCATTCGCAGCCACAAAAGCAACTGCTCTGCCCCAAAGTTCACTCTGCAGCATCCAAGGGGTCTGATGTGAGAGGTGGGCCTGCCTTTCACAAGGGAACTGCTCTATTGAGTGAGAAACAATGAAGTGAATCGCATGGGCTCTGGTTTCAAACAGCCAGTGAATTTAGTTCACAATGAAGCAAGAGCCTGGCTTCGCTTCTGAGCAGACACAGAAGGCCCCAGGTGAGCGTTAGGGGGTTCTGGCATCATTGCGATCAGAACTGGCCAGTGCCTCTGGTTTCAGTGTAGTCATGCAATGCGGAGGCACCGGGCTGCTTCTCAAGATGGTTTCGAGTCTGGAGCAAAGCGCCGCTTATGTCAAGTCACTATCAGAGACCCAAGTTTTACCCGATGGGGGACATCACAAAGGAGGGGATGCCTTTTAGCCAGGCCCCGGTGGATATTAGACCCTGGATTCTATTACCTCAAGGATGACCACCTGTCTGTCCCCTCTCCTTCCTATTGAACACAAAGTCCTTTGATCTCCCACACTGTGAAATAGGTGGCTTTCATTTCCGATCCCTGAAGATTGTGGAATCTGAAGTCTCTACTCTTACAGTGTTGTAAGTGGGGCTCTGCTGGCCACTTCTAAATGCAAACCAGCCTGGCTGCTACTTCGCTGCCTGTGGCTGCAGGGTTTGCGCATTGCTGTGGGAGACAGGGCTGCCTGAGAGGTGGAGAGAGGTAGGGGGTTCTGTTTGTGAGGGTGGCCTGTTGGTGATGTGAATGACAGGAGGGGAAGTGGGGAATGAAGATCAGCTGAGATAGTTTATTGTGCCAACCTGGCCAATAAACACATGTGGGATTAATTGAAGGGCGGAGGGATAAATGGCTCAGTGAGCCTCGCCTTTCTAGTTCTCGGGTCTCTTGCTTTCTGATGGTCAGACCCCAGGGTGCAATTGCCTTAGCCAGTTCCCTGCTTCAGCTGGCAAGACTCACTTCCTGCAAGCCATCCCCCCAAGGAGAAGCCGCATGGACCTATCCTGATGTAGCCCTGGGTGCTGGAGCAGCCGCGTGGAGACCCCTGCCAGTGCTGAGATGCTTACACGTTCACTGACTTGGCTTTCCTCCTGCAGTCGGTGTCATTGCATGTGTTTTGTGAGATGGAGGACTTTGTGGATTGGTGTCGGACATATGTGTAAATAATGTTGGACTTGTGGGCTTGGGCAGCACTGGGTGGGGATGTTTTCTTGATGTGCACTTAACCTTTATATAAAACTCTCTCTTATACATGAAGTTTCTGTGGATTTGTTTCTCTAAAGTACCCAGACTAACACCAGCCCATGTCCAGATTGCCCAGCTCCACCTATCAACCCCCTCACCTTCCAGAATCCAGCTGCCCCCTGCCCCCCGCCCCCAGAGAATCTGTGCTGAAGCCCAGGGTGATAGGGCAGCAAGGCTCCAGGGAAAACAGAGAAAAAGCCTAGACCACTTATAGACCCAGACGGGCACTTACTGCACAAGTGCACCTCGCCCAAAATGGCAGTGACACAAAGAACAGGACACCAGGGCACCCGGTCACAGTGCCTGCCCTGGTGTGGCGCCAGCAGGCAGGAAGCCAACGTAAGCAGCGGACAGAGCAACCCTTACCGGTTTGCTCCTGTCACTGTCGCTGCCATGGTTACATACCTCAAGGAGCCCAGACAAGTACTTGGCACATATGTCCAGTGGCTTGGTCAGTGGCGAGTGGGCGCTCCAGCCCTGGGTGGCAGTGAGGTGCGCCATACCCCGCAGGGTCCGCTCCAGAGAAGGCAGGCCGTAGAAGTGGGGGGCATCGGTCACACGCAGGCACTGCAGCAGCCTCAGCGCCAGCTGCGTGTGGAAGACGCGGAGCAGCTCCCGGCATTTCCTACACAGGGCACAGCAGTCAGCTCCCTCACTAACCATCGAGGGCAGAGCCGCGTGAGGATGGCAGGAAGGACCCCTCCCTAGAGCTGGACTTGCAAGCAAACAGCAGTGGGAAGACTGAGCCGAGCCGGGTGTGCTAGGGGACCGACTGGGCAGTGTCCTTTAGAGACATCAGTGAACACAGGTGTGGCCACCTAATAATAAACCAAACACCTGACCATCCTGTCAATGCCGCCCGCATGGCGACCCTACAATACAGAGTAGAACTGCCCCATGAGTCTCCGAGACTGTTCACTCCTTATGGGAGTAGAGAGCCTCATTCCCTCCAGTGAGGCAGCTAGTAGTTTTTCAAACTGCAGACCTTTTGGTTAGCAGTCCAACACATAACCACTACACCACCATAGGAAATTAAAGATCGGAAAGGTAGATTGTAAACCTCTATGTTGAATCATTAAATAATATGTACTGTTCTTCACAGAGAATTCGTATAAAAAATTTCAATGGGTTTGATACAAAGTTTACAGCAGTGTTTCCAAAGTGGGAGACAGCACCTCCTGGGGGCAGATAGGGGGAGACACTGGGCCAACCCAGGGGGCCGCAAAACCAGATACCCACACTTATTCTGCACTATGGGCTAGAGTATAAAAGTCTTAACACCCAGGGAGCGCTGAGTAAATTTTTTTCTGAAAAGGGGGCGGGAAGGCCAAAACTTGGGAACCGATGCTTTAAATACAACGAGGCGGTCTGGTGACATGGTTAGATAAGCACAAGGCCAGCAGTCCAGATCCTGCAGTCTCGCTGCAGGAACAAGGAGAGGTAGCTGCTCCCAAGGCTTGGTCAGGGAGCAGTGCTACTCTGCCCTGCACGGTTGTTGAGGCAGAATGCAGTCAGTGGGTGGGGTGAAGAAAATTGTCAAAACAGGGCAATCGGAGGACTAGTGAGGGAAAAAATCCTGAAACTAGGAGCCAGGCAAGGACACAAAGATGCTATTCCTGGAGGAAATGCAGTCTGTGCATCCCAAACTCTGAATTGACTCTGACTAGCTTCAGTTTTAGGAGCCATTAGACGTGTAAAATCTGACCATACTGACCGTTATTAATTGTCCTTTCAGAAAGGAAGGGAGCCTGGGTGCGAAGTGAGTTACCACAAGGTCAGCAGTTTGAAACCACCAGCTCCTCTACAGATGAGGCTTTCTGCTCCCATAGAGAAACCCACTGGGGCATTTCTGCCTTGTCCTGTAGCGTTACTAGGTCGGCATCGCCTTGATGGCAGGGAGCTTAGTTTGCGAGTTCATGAAGGAGCCTGATTGTGCAGTGGTTAAGCACTAGGCCATTAACTGAAACGTCAGTCACTGGACCTGCCAGGTGCTCCTAAGGAGAGAGAGGTGGTCAGCTTCTTCCACAAATACCACGGCCTGGGAAGCCCTGAGGGCAGTTCTTCCCTGGCCCACAGGGTCCAAGTTGTCCTGTCGGTTCCTTCCTTTCACAGTGTTCGAGGATAAGGCATGCTTAAAGAGCAGAATGTTAGCATACCGTTGCCCTGGTGCTCATCAAGTCCACTTTCGCCCCTGGGAGAGCTAGTGGGTTTGAACCACTCAACTTGCAGTTAGCAGCACTATGCTTAACCTACTGTGCCACCAGATCTCCTAACACCATCAGACAAGCCAGCAACCAGCAATTCCATCCTTGCACACACTTGTATGCAGATGCTCACAGCAGCAAAGGTACAAGCATCTCAAATGCCCCCAAGGCATGGCTGGGGAAAACAAGCTGCTGTCTGCACACTCGGACCACTGCTTGGCCAGGCCTCAGGGAAGCAAGCATGGACCTCGATGCACCCTGAGCCTCAGAGCAGGGTGCAGAGTGACCAGAAACCCACCAGTCACAGCCCAGGCCAACCCACCAAGCTGGGGAGTAGAGGGTGCTGGGCTGCTCAGGGATTTTGAAGGAGGGAGACATGACTTCTTACTGGGGCAATAGAAATATTCTGGAATCAGGGGTTGGGGCTGGGGGTATTGTGCAGCATTGTGAATTAACAAAAATCCCTCAAATACTCATTTTGAAATGATTTGGTAAAAGTTATCTTACAATAATTTTTAGTTAGATGGTAACGACAGATATACATTTGAGAATCAACTAGTCAAAAATACTTAGTAAAGTTCTAGAAATGGTTATGACTACCTTAGTAGGTGCATGGGAATTTAAGAGAGTTCAAAGTACTGACCTCCACAGAACATCATAAGTGTGGGTGTGTATGAGTGTTGTGCAGTGTGGGGAGTGGAAGGGTGTGGTATATAGGAAATGAGTATTGGAAGGGTGGGGGGAATGTGGGTATGAGTGGGGTGGGTGTATGTAGCTGGGTGGTTGTCAAAGGACTAGAAGTCTGTCTGTAACAGAGTTTCTATGAAAACAACGAATAACGGACTAACAAGACCTATTACTGAAGTCTTTACTCCTCCTAATTTGAATGAGGGAAGCAGAGCCTTTGGACAGAAGAAAACTCAGCTCCAGAAGCGTTATCTGAGCCTCCACACCCCGGGTTGTACCTGTCTGTGACGGCCGAGGACAAGAGCAGCAAGGTATTGAAAAGGGTGACCAGCTCCTTCTGAAGCTGCTGCCGGACAGCAGCACGGACATCATCTGAGTCCTCTCGGCTCGGGGACTCTGCCGGAACCAGCAAGTCTAGCAGTGGGTTTGGACCCTGAAAAATGAAATTGCAAAAAACATGTTGACCCTCTAATTTGTCTGAGTGGCTTCCTATGAAGATTCCTGTTGCAAATCATGCTCTGGGCTAACGACGGTACCCAAGAAACCCTGGTGGTGCACATGGCTCAGCAGCCAGCTGCTGAACAAAAGCCCATCCCGAAGCCAACCGAGAGAAAAGATCTGGCCCCAATGACACCTGTCTGGGCCCTGAAAGAAAAGACCTGGTCCATCGAGTCATCGCCGATGTGACAGTTGTGCTCTGCGACACTGATCACTGTGTGCTTGGGTGGACTGACGACACCCTACAGCAAGAAGTATCTATGGGACAGGCCAGGACCCTGTCACTACAACAAATACTTGCAGCATTTTAAGAATTAAGAGGAGAGAAAGTAAAACCATGTTTAAATCTTTGAGCAAGCTGACAGAGACAAAGCTTCACTGCACAGCGAGCACCTGCAGTTGAGAAACTCCATACTATAAAGTCCTTCAAAACCACCAGCCGATCCTGGGGAGAAAGACGGGGCTTTCTCCTCCTAGAAAGAGTTACAGGCTCAGAAACCCACAGGAGAGGTTCTACCCTGTCCTGTGGGTTAGCATCCACTCCAAGGCAGTGAGAGTTGGACAGTGAGCAAATGCTGCTCCCCTCACACCCCAACACCATCTTTCACTTGTGTGAGAGATACGATGTCCTTAGTCTGTCCAATCTCTTTATTTCTTGCAATGCAGACAGAAGGCAGCGGAATTCAGGGATAAACGTCCCCCTGCTGGACAAATGTTCTATAAGAAGTGCCACAACATGAAAATAAAGCTCATCTGAAAGAAGTAAAAAGAGAGGAAAATTGAAAGGAAACCGTTTGTGAAGGAAAATTTTGCCACAACCATTTGAAAACAGGGCTCTGAAAGCACAGGCATAGAGGAGGAGCCTACTGGGACTCAACTGGGGGACACTGCGTCCTTTGGTTCTCATGACAAGGGCCATCATAGGGCCATGACACTACAGAAACACGCTTCACCATTTGAAATAACAACTGCCCATCATTTAAAAAATCATCTCTATATCAAACGAAATTCCAAAAGGCTAAAGATGAAGACAAAAATAAAGCCTTCAAAGTTATAAAAGAACTATGAATGGTATCCAATACTGAATTGTGTACCCCAAAACCATGTGTCAACTTGGCTGGACCACAAATCTCAGGATGCGCTGTGGTAGCTAAGAGATAATCCCCCAAAAGGTAATCTGATGTGACCAACCAAGAGGAGGATTAAGTTGGGCTGCAACCCCCTTAATCCCCTCACAACCCCAATCCCATGGAAGGGGAGTCTTCCCGGGCGGTGCCTGAAGCTTTTTACCTTACAAGAGGTGAAAGGAGAGAGAAGGGAGCAGCAAACAACCACCACACACACACACACACACACACACACACACACACACACACACACAAAGGTACTCCAAGAGAGACAGCATCCCATGGACCTGGGTCTCTGCAGTGATGCACTAACTCACCTCCTAAGCCCAGGCAGATGCTGATGTTAAATCACAGGGAGATAGCCAAGGGACACCAGGCCCACAGATGTTAAAAGGGAACAAAGACATCCCCGCAGAGCAGACAGAGCGAGAAAGTCTTCCCCTAGAGCTGGTCCCCTGAGTTCTGACCCTTTGCCTCTTCAACTGTGAGAGGAAACTAGAAATTTGTGAAAGCCACCCTCTGGTACCCCCGACTAAAAAAATAAATAAAATGGAATTTTTTTCAAAGCTCTGATTTAATTTTTTTTACAAAACCACCTTATCACCTTCAAAGTACTCTCCATTACACATATTTGTCAAATCTGCAATCCCATTCTTGGAGACACTTTTCAAACTCATCTGTTTGGATGGCTCATAAAACCTTGTATTAGTCTGAGTATTTTAGAGAAACACTCATGTATAAGAGACAGTTTTATATAAAGGTTAAGTGCACATCAAGAAAACATCCCAACCCAGGGCTGTCCAAGCTCACAAGTCCAACATTAACCCATTAACCTATATGTGCAACACCAATCCACAAAGTCCTCCTCCATCTCACAAAACACACACTATGAAGCCCACTGCTGGAGGAAAGCCGAATCAGTGAATGTGTAAGCATCTCAGCGCTGGCAGGGGTCTCCATGCGGCTGCTCCAGCACCCAGGGCTGCATAGGGGTAGGTCCATGTGATTTCTCCTTGGGGATGCCTTGCAGGACGTAAGCCTTGCAAGCTGAAGCAGGGAACTGTTAAGGCAGCTGCACCCTGGTCCAACCATCAGAAAGCAAGAGACCCGAGAACTAGAAAGGCAAGGCTCACTGAGCCATTTATCCCTCCGCCCTTCAATTAACCCCACATGTTTTTATCGGCCAGGTTAGCACAATAAACTAACTACCTCACACCTCCCTTGTTTTTTTCTTCACCTCTTTTAGGTCGACAAATCGCTGACCTTTCTTGTAACTCTTCATTCATGGAAGCAAAAAGAAATTGCAGGGAGCGAGGTCAGAGGAATAAGGTGCATGGGACAAGAGAGACATGCTGTTTTTTGCCAAACTGAGATCAGTGAGCAGGTGCATTGTCATGGTGGCAAAACTAGTCCCCCATCTGCCACAAATCAGGCCTTTTGTGTTGCACGATGTTACACAATCTTTTCAGAATCTCTAAATGGAAAGCTTGATTAACAATCTGACCTGGTGGAATGAACTCCAAATGCACTAGGAGTCAACATTTTCATCCATTTGGGAAGATGATGTACATCCAGAACGAGGTTTGTCATCAATTGACATTTTACTTCTTTTGAAATGAGAAAATCACTTGCACACCTGAGTGATTTCCCATACCACTCTCCTTGTAAGCTGTGTTCAACATCACAACAGTTTTTGCGGCATTTTCCCAGAACAGGAAACAAAATTTCACAGCCACATGCTGTTCTCTTAAAACGGCCATCACAGGTTTGAGTGAGGCTGCTTTTAAGAAAAAAAATTCACTGTGAATAGAGAGACCCTTCCCAGGCAACATCACTGGGTGCACTAACTCAGAGCAAGTTGCTGATGTTGGCCTAGCGGGAAAATCTGTAGTATGAAAACTCCACCCAGTGAAGCTTTTCCGGTTTGGGGGGGGGTATCCCCTCCTACATCGATTGATCTGTGGATTGAGACATCTCTAAGGGACAAAATCAAAACCTACACACAGAGAAGTGGCTAAACCTGACTCCTAACCAGAACATGGTGTAACTAAAACAAATCCTTTGTCCCCAGATCCTCCATTCCAATCACTTGTCCCCCAGCCTCCATTCCGGTGGGGTGTGTGTGTGTGTTTCCAGGGGGAAAGGGAGGGCATGAGACAGATATGAACAGAGCTTTCTTCAAGGGTGAGGATACAAACTCAAAATCTCATTGCCATTGAGAGATGCCGACACACAGTGACCCTACAAGGACAGCATCAAATTGCCCTGTGGGTTTCTGAGACTGTAACACTCTATGGGAGTAGAAGCCCTATCCTTCTCCCCAGTTATGGCATGAGGGGAGTCAAATATACATCGTCTGCATGAAAGTCATCCTTTCCCATAATAGGACACTAGAGACTTTTACAAACGAATCGCTTATCAACCTCCACTCCAAACTCCTTAACAATACTCACCTGCCTCAGGAGTAGTTCTAGAATCCAGCTCAGCAGCTCTACTGAGGAATGTCTCCGCTGCTCCTTCAGCAAGTCGTTTAGGAAATGTATGACATCGATCAACAGCTTCTCATCTTCCGTGCAGGCAGGAAGCACATGTAAAAACCTACAACCGAGGCGAACGACACTGACCAAAGTGCTATCGCTTTACAAGGCACATTGGCACCGTCCACCCGGCTGTACCTTCACCAGGCATGGTGTCTTGGCATGCCACTTCAAGTGGCACGCAGCCCGCTGCTGTGAGGAATGGGGAGGGGGGGGAAGGTTGTAGGGAAGGTGCCTTCCAGACCCTGGGCCTGGTGGAGAATGCACATCCCCAGGTAATCACCTAAGACCATGAACCGCCAGAGGGACAGCCAAATCCAGACAGAGAACAGGCAATGTTTTGCAAGGGGAAAAAGACAGTCTCCAACTGTCCCCTAAGGCCTCGGGCACCACGTCCACTGACCTGTTGAGTGCCATGTGCCAAGCCTGGGACTTCAGGAGGGCTGAGCAGGGGCCGAAGCCACTCTGTAAAGACAGCCGGTCATTGAGAAGGTAGTAGCCCATCCTGGTGATGGCAGCCCGGACGTCCCTGTGGGCAGCAGCCTGGATGATGGCGCGCAGGCAGTCCTGCAGCCCACTGGCCCTGTGTGTGACTTTCAGAGTCAGACTATCTTCAGGGGTCAGCTTCAGGGAACCGAGGAACCTGCAGAAAAGAGCAGAAGGCTCCTTCAACAAAAGCACATGTGTGTCTTGATTATACAGAAACCTCTTCCCCAGCACCAAAGAAAATTTACAGAGCTGGCTCATCTTAGTTTGCTTTTACTTAAGCATCACCTCAAAGAAGATCAAAGAACAATGTACACCTTCAATATTAGGGCTCAACACCAGCATAAACCAAAGCAAACTCACTGCCATCGAGTCAATGCTGAATCTGGGTTTCCAAGACTAACTGTTTACGGGAGTCGAAAGCCCAGTCTTTCTCCCATGATGCTGCTGGTGGTTCTGAACTGCCACCCATGTGGATCACAGCCCAACATGTAAGCACAGCACAATAGGGCTCCCTGTTACACTAGCACACCTTGTGTTTATATGGACTTGCACTATTCACAGAAATTGATCATTTTCTTTATCCATACAAGAAAGAACCAGTAGATTGAAATTTTGTTTAAGAAGTCCTAGACATTCCAAAATAATTACAACCATCACCACCGCAGTGATTCCAATATTCCTTCCTAACGCTTACTATGGGCTTTCACTCTACACTGAACACCTTTCCGGCTGATGTTCACTTATTAAGTGGCACGCTTTATCACCTGTAAGGCTCTGACATTTACATTTCCTTATTTGACCCATTCTTCTACAGAAATGACGATGTAATCTTTAACTCAAAACCTGAGTAATGAGCATCTTCAGCGACATTGCAGACCCTGATGTAGTCATGAAGCGCAAGTGGGATTTAACCTGCCGCAGAACCCAGTCGGCCTGGTTCATGGACAGGGCACTTTCCCTGAGCAAGCAGCTTACTCGGGGGTTCTGTTGGCTGTGCTCGTTTGCTTCCACAGATTGTCAATCCCGTGACACCAGGACAGGTTCCAAGCTACTCTCAACATATCTGAGACGGGCTTCAGGGCCAAAGTGTCAGCAGACAGGGGTAGGACGATGGCATGGGGACTCACTGCGTGATGGCCTCGGACCAGCACTGGCAGGTGATACCTGGAGAAAGGGACACAGACGGTTACAGATCCCCCAACCCGGTGAAGGGCCAGCACACGTGCATGCATGGCCCTTTCAACCTCCCCACACTGGTGAACAGCTAAACAAAATGCTGGCCAGGTAAGCAGGACAGGGGCAGGGAGGGCGGCTTTGAGCTCCCAAGACACCATGGCCAACTCTGCATAAACACACCAGAAATGCTGCAATTGGAGGACTCGATGGTGATAGATCGCAGACTTGGGTTTTCCTCTCTGTTACGATCTTGTGCCCATCAAGAAACTCAGAGAAACTGATACATTACCTTCTAATAACTGACAGAGGCAGGCTGAAGACTGAGGGCGAAGCAGGTGCACTGGAAGGATCAAGTGACCTATTTCGAGAGACAGAGGTCAAAAGAAAAATAGCCACTCTGCAAACCAGCCTTTCATACCAAATACGAGTCACTTCACTTGATGAAAAACTCAACCCCAGGGGTGCAACTGGTTTTCATCATTGTGTCTACCTCCACCACGACCTGTGACCCCTGGCTTTGCTCACAGGCAACAAAGCGTGCCTTTCTACAAGGAGTCCACACTAGTGTCCATGGAATGAGGGCACTGGACAGGCAGGCCAACTCCCCAAGGTCTGTATTAACTGGGTTTTATCCTAAACACCTTCCCAAAGTCATCGAGTTGTAATACAAATAATCAGTAAAGAGAAATGTACACAAAATTAAGGATACAGAATAAAAGTATACTAAAAATGCTGCATTAACAATTTTAATAAAAATCCCACAAAACCCTGCAGTAGTGCTAAAATTTTATACTTAGTAGTATTTAAAAAAATAATTGCAGGGTGACCCTGCGCATAAATGTGCTTTTGAATATTGCTTATTTCAACCAAGATCCCCAGTGGCCCTGTGAGCAAGGCAAGGGCTGCTGATTGCAAGCTGAGCCTATCTGACAGCCTCGGAAACCCTGCAAAAGTCTGAGTCAAAAGTGACTCGCAGCAGTGAGTTTGGGGTGTTTATACAGGCCTAAGTCAGAAATGCCCATTCATTGCTGTAAGATTATATCAGATGCCTTAACTAAACAATTGTTAGGAGTAAAGAACGAAAATTCTCATTGTTCACCAAACGTCCATTCTTGATACTTCGTCAAACAGCAAAAGACAAAATAATGCTCCTACTTCCGTCACAGCAGCACAATCCTCATGGAACAGCAAGGAAACTGAGGACGAGAAGGAAACACAGCCTTAGGAGATCACTTTACCTGGAAAATGAACAGACTTCAAATTTTAAAAACCCCTGAACTTCCTAAAAATATTGCCAAGATCACCTTTGAGCCTTAACCCCCAAACATCCCAAAGTCTTCTGAAAACCAAGCAACAGTGAGAGAGAACGCGATATGTCAGCTGAGTCAGCCTGCATGCTGCTCCCCCACAGCAAGGACCTCTGTGGAACAGACACAGAGGGCACCCTGGGAACCTGGACATAAACAACATGGACGACGAAGTCAAGTGAACACAGGTGGAAGGAGAAACGGAACAAAACCAAAAAAAGGAGAGTTGTGGATCAGAGGTGCCCCACTTGCCAGCTGCCTGGCCAGGCAAGCAGCAACCCCAAGTAAGGAGCACAGGGAGGAACGTCACCGATTCCCCAACAGATGGCAGAGAAACCGCAGACAAAGCCAGAGACCTGGTGGCACTGTCCGGTAAGTGTTGGAATGCTAATTTCAGGGTTGGCTGTTCAAACTCCCCAGCTGCTCCAAGGGAGAAGGATGAGGCTGTCTGCTCCTGAACTGATCTGATAGCAGAGGGAATTACCACATGGGAAACGGAACAGGGCCACTAGGTGTCAGAATCTTTACAAACAAAATCAATCAATCTAAACAGCAAAATAAGGAAGGAAAAAGACTCAGTAAACACAATGAAAGTTGTGCAACAAAGGGAATCCATGGACAAAGTCAGCACAAAAAATCAGGACCACCACCAAGACCAGGAAACACAACAACAATGAATCCACACCTGTGGCTAATCCCACTGAATACATCATGCCCCATCTAGACACAGAGAGGGGCATAATGTATAGAAAACATACATGCCCCGTCCACATGATACCGATGAGAGACACACCTTAGACAAAAAGCCATGCACAAGTTAAAAATCAAAGGATGCAATACAGCAAGCAAGCGCTAAATAAAAAGCAAGCAGGAGCAGCAATAATAATTCCAAATAGATTTAAGTCAAAAGCTACTCTAAGACACTGGAGTTTTATATAACACAGGGTAAATTCACCAATAAGATGTAATGATAGTAAATATTTATGCATCCAATCACAGAGCTCCAAAATATTTCAAACACTCCACCAGATTTGAAAGAAAAAGAAATAGCGATGAAATCAGGTGCTTGAGGTGTGCAGTTCTAAAGCACAAGCCGCTCTACAGGAGAAAGGCAGGGCTTCTACTCCCTTAAAGAGTTATCATCTCAGCAACTCACAGGGCAGTTCTACCCTGTCCTACAGGGTCTCTGAGTCAGCATTGATTCCTTGGCAGTGAACCTTTTAAAACGTGACACACACACACACAAACTCTTATCAACTTTACTAAATTGATAATCGAGGGCAGCAACACGATCAGATTCACCAGGGTCAACAGGCAGAAGAAACCCAGAAAAAGGAACCAGTACTAGGAAGAGGCCAGATGGCAGCTGGCCAGGTCTGAGCTACCTCCTCAGTGACGGCAGGTGCACGTGGCTCGACCCTGAATGACACCATCTCACCCAGGACTGCATGCACGACCACATGATTGGACATTGCCACCCCCCCCACCACCACCACCAGCGGAAGATGCACCAGCGACATTGCTGCTGTGTGAGGAATATGCAAACAGTGCTGCCAACCACCAGCGTGTACAGCCTCCGAGCCAACATAGGAGCAGCCCAGCAGCCTCTCCATGGAGTCAATTCTGACACACAGGATCCTGTGCAGTTTCCCAGGCTGTAATTCTTATAGGAGCGCGGAGCCCGTCATTCTCTCTCGGAGCAGCTGGTGGGTTTGAACCATCAACCTTGCAGTCCAACGCTTAGCGGACAGCACCACCAGGCACTCTACCCCATGAGGAGCAGAGGTTATCTTCCTCACCTCTGAGTAGCAGGTCCAGGAGGGGTGGCCTCTGTGAGAGGGAGATGCGTAGGGCTGGGTCAGCACACAGCACTTTTCTAAAGAGAGTGAGGCTCGGGGGGATTAGACAGTCTATGGCCTGGCAAGGAAGAAGGGGGAGGAAAAAACAGCAACTGTGATTTCATTTCCGTCCTTCTAAACATGAGATAAAGACATTTCATTCTAAGTGCATCACTCCTCCAATCAAAATAGTGTGATAAGAAAACACATATTCAAATTGATTTTTCACTGAGAGCATGCTTTCTGCTCACACGTCCAAGGTGGAAACGTCGAGACTAGTTTCCATCT